TATTATTATTATTATTATTATTATTATTATTATTATTATTATTATTATTATTATTATTATTATTATTATTATTATTATTATTATTATTATTAAAACTGGTACTTCCAGGCTATTTTGAGCACCCTAAAACCTGTACAAGGAGAGGCTATTCTTGTTTATCTAGGCCAGAGTTTTTCAAACGTGGCCACTTTTAAGATGTGTGGACTTCAATTCCCAGAATTCTGGAATTATGCTGGCTGAGGAATTCTGGGATTTGGAAGTCCACATGTGTTAAAGCATGCTGACTGGGGAATCTTGGGAGTTGAAGGTCACAGGTCTTAAAGAGGCCAAGTTTGAAAAACACCCATCTAGGCCAGGGGTCTTCGAACTTGGCCCCTTTATGACTTGTGGACTTCAACTCCCAGAATTCCTCAGCCAGGCACTCTGGCGGAGGAATTCTGGGAGTTGAAGTCCACAAGTCATAAAAAGGCCAAGTTTGAAGACCCCTGATCTAGGCATTCATGCTGCACCCCTTAAATCAGGGATCTTCAAACTTGGCCCTTTTATGACTTGTGGACTTCAACTCCCAGAATTCCTCAGCCAGGCACGCAAGTCCATGTCATAAAAGGGCCAAGTTTGAAGACCCCTGCCTTAAATTGTCCCCTCTAGCCATTTTCAGCCCATCTCTCTGTCCTATCTCTCACCTTGAGGCTTTTTAGTTCTTGCACACAATGGAATGATGCAACTTGTTTTATGACTTATTTGTCTCTGTCTGACTGCATCGCCATACTTTCTGTCTCTCTAGCAAACCTCTTTAGGAAAATTATAATTTACAATAAGGATGTTCAATGTAAACAACATGACCCAAAGGAACGTGAATAGGAAGAGAAGAGCTAAGTTATGCACAGACATGCTTCCTAAACAGAGAGGCTTGTAATGCACATTAAACCAGAACATTATCTTGACTTAATATTTCGCCGGGCGCTACATTGAAAAACCAGATTTATGCCTCAACATGGTGCATGGGCTCCGATGGCATTGACAAAACTTCATTAAAAACACCACATAGCTTAGTATGATGCCGTGATATAGAAATGCA